AATTTTAAAACAACATTTTATTTTCTTCGAAATAAAAGGCTCTTTTTTTTTTTTTTTAATAAAAAACTATTTTTTTTCTCCCGAAATAATAGGCTCGTAGAAGAGCCCTTGAACTTTCTTTAAAAAAAAAAAAAAAAATGAAGAAAATGGGTAAGATTTTGTTCATATTAAAAGGCACTAGAAACTTATATTATCCTCATGGTCCCATCATATTGTATTTTCGGCCCATACTTAAGATCCAACACGGCCCAATAAGAAAGGGGAATAGGCCCAAACTATACTAATTATAACGGCCGACTTGAAGGGCCCGGCCCAACAGTCGTCTCCAAAATTTTCTTCCTCTCTCTGTTTACCAGTGTTGGAGGAGTTTTGGCGGTAAGGAAGATTTGATGGCGCGTCGAGCTGTTGTTCCTCAACGACAACTACGAATCAGAGGTGTGTTTCTCGAGAGCTACGTTTTTCTTTCAATTTCGAAATTGTAAGATTACTCGGTTGGAACGTTTTTCTGTGAACTTGTCATAATTCCTGTTTTTGGTGGATTAATTTTAGAATCTTAATGTGCGGGACTTTGCTTGATTCCAGTTATTTTCTCATTGTTAGGGCTTTGTTCTTGTTCCCTGAGTTCTTATAACTGATTTTGAAATTCCATTGAATTCTTAACTTATCATTCGAGTACTTTGATGGAGCAGATGGCAGCAATGAATTGGCCGTAGTTGAATACATGGATGAGAGGTATAAGTTTGTCTTTGATACTCATGTCACCTTGTTTTCTCGAACCTTACATATGCATATGTCTCACTTAGCTTGAATGCACTCTCTTTGCGTATGCCTCGGGTGTTAACCTCGAAAGTCGGAGTTCCATAGGGAATTTGACGAGCTTTCATATTTCATAAAAACCCCATGCCCAAATTCCCTATGGAACCCTGACTTTTGCGGTTAAGGCACGGGGCCGTACTCGGCCCTTCAACCAGCTTATCTATGACGCTTATGTCTACTACTCGTTGTCCCTATGTTTCTTATGTCTTGTTTTCTATTCAATGCACACGTTATATGGTGTGTTAGATGTGTTGTCCCTATTTTGCTTATGTCTCATTTCCTCTTCCATGCACACGTTATATGGTTTGTTGGATGATGCACCGTCTCTGTTGGTCGCATCATGACACTTTAGAACCACATGCCCAAATTCTCTCTGGAACCTCGACTTTCGAGGTTAAGGCCCAGGGACCTACCCGTCCCTTCAACAAGCGTATCTTTGACACTCATGTCTATTACTCGTTGTCCCTATCTTGCTTATGCCTCGTTTTCTATTTATATGGTGCATTGGATGCATTGTCCCTATCTTGCTTATGCGTTGTTTTCTTTTCAATATGGTTTGTTGGATGATGCATCGTCCCTTCCGCATCAACACTTCAAAATTTCTTTTCATTAATTAGGTAGAATAGTTAAAAGGGTTAAAAAGTCAAAATTACCTAAATTCACTATGGAACCCCGAATTTTGAGGTTAAGGTTGGGGCCCTACCCGACCCTTCAACAAGATTATTTGTGGCGTTCATGTCTATTACTCGTTGTCCCTATCTTGCTTATGCCTCGTTTTCTATTTATATGGTGCATTGGATGCATTGTTCCTATCTTGCTTATGCTTTGTTTCCTTTTCAATGTAAACGTTATATGCCTCGTTTCTTATTCAACGTACACATTATATGGTGTGTTGCCCCTTGGTCGCATCATGACATTCCTCTCTATTTGACACCTCATGTGGCCGGGTGGGCACTTCTTGAGGGTTACTGTATTGTTTGTCTCTTCATAAAGCATCATTATGTTCATTAAAAGGAAGGAGGGAAGCTCCACTAGAAAAATATTGGAGGGGAAAAATACTTCGAATATGAACTTGTTCCCATTCAATAGTCAACAATTCTTGACGGTATCGAGCTGGAACAATCTGTTCTTTGAATACCTGGATTCAATGCCAAAGAATTTATGTTTACCATATAGTATTCATCTCGACTTGGCGATAAATAAAGCATCCGCACTTTTTTTTGGTCTTCACGTGATCGGATGAGCGTCACTTGAGAGTAATCCCTTGTCTATTTTGCATGTCGGGGTCACAACCTACTTTTCCTCACTCAAATACAACCTATTTTTCCTCACTTAAATACGATTGTAACACTTCAACTGAATGCCCAAATTTCCTTTGGAACCGGCCAGGGCCCTAATCACCCTTCAGCAAGCCTATCTGTGACGCTCATGTCACGTTGTCTCTATCTTGCTCATGTCTCGTTTTCTATCTTGCTCATGCCCCCTTCATCTTTTCAATGTAAATGTTATATGGTTTGTTGGATGATGCATTATCTCCTTTCCCATCATGACACTTCAATTGCATGCCCAAATTTCCTTTGGAACCGGCCCGTGGCCCTACTCACCCTTCAACAAGCCTATCTGTGATGCTCATGTCTCGTTGTCTCTATCTTGCTCATGTCTCGTTTTCTATCTTGCTCATGCCTCTTCAATGCACACATAATGACATTCTTCTATTGGTCGCATCATGACATTCTTCTATATTGACACCTCATGTGACTGTGCTCATGTCTCGTTTTCTATCTTGCTCATGCCTCTTCAATGCACACATAATGACACTCTTCTATTGGTCGCGTCATGACATTCTTCTGTATTGACACCTCTTAAACGTTACTGTTTTGCTGGTTGTGACGTTAATATGGGTGTATTGGACTGTGATGGTTGTGGCATAATCCCATCGTGGGTTGTGACATTTGCCCGTCCTCCAAGCTTGGTCTTCACGTGATTGGATGTCCCTTGTCTGTCTTGCGTGGGGGTGACAACCTACTTTTCCGCGTGGGGGTCGACTTGGTGATAAATAAAGCATCCACACTTTCTTTTGGTCTTCACGTGATCGGATGAGCGTCACTTGAGAGTAATCCCTTGTCTATTTTGCATGTCGGGGTCACAACCTACTTTTCCTCACTTAAATACGATTGCAACACTTCAACTGAATGCCCAAATTTCCTTTGGAACCAACCTGGGTGCCCAAATTTCCTTTGGAACCAACCTGGGCCTTTTCCTCACTTAAATACGATTGCAACACTTCAACTGAATGCCCAAATTTCCTTTGGAACCAACCTGGGTGCCCAAATTTCCTTTGGAACCAACCTGGGCCCTACTCACCCTTCAGCAAGCCTATCTGTGACGCTCATATCTCGTTTTCTATCTTGCTCATGCCCCCTTCATCTTTTCAATGTAAATGTTATATGGTTTGTTGGATGATGCATCATCCCCTTTCCCATCATGACACTTCGATTGCATGCCCAAATTTCCTTTGGAACCGGCCCGTGGCCCTACTCACCCTTCAACAAGCCTATCTGTGATGCTCATGTCTCGTTGTCTCTATCTTGCTCATGTCTCGTTTTCTATCTTGCGCATGCCTCTTCAATGCACACATAATGACATTCTTCTATATTGACACCTCATGTGACCGCGCTCTGGTATGATATTGTCCACTTTGAGCATAAGCTCTCATGGCTTTGCTTTGGGCTTCCCAAAAGGCCTCATACCAATGGAGAGTGTATTCTTAGATTATAAACCCATGGCCATTCCCTAAATTAACCGATGCGGGACTTTCATCATCCAACACCTCCCCTCGAACAAAGCACGCCTCCCCTTAATCGAGGCTCGACTCCTTTGGAGTCTTAGTCATTTTTTGACTGCCTTCGTACCTTCGAGGAGGCTTGACTCCTTTTGGAGTCCTTTGTTCGACATTTAAGGATTTGCCAATCTATTGACACGGCTAAGTTTAGGGCATGGCTCTGATACCATGTTAGACGAACACGACTCTCCACAATGGTATGATATTGTCCACTTTGAGCATAAGCTCTCATGGCTTTGCTTTGGGCTTCCCAAAAGGCCTCATACCAATGGAGAGTGTATTCTTAGATTATAAACCCATGACCATTCCCTAAATTAACCGATGTGGGACTTTCATCATCCAACATATTGGATTGTGATGGTTGTGACATAATCCCATCGTGGGTTGTGACATTTGCACCGTCCTCCAAGCTTGGTCTTCACGTGTCCCTTGTCTGTCTTGCGTGGGGGTGACAACCTACTTTTCCGCGTGGGGGTCGACTTGGTGATAAATAAAGCATCCACACTTTCTTTTGGTCTTCACGTGATCGGATGAGCGTCACTTGAGAGTAATCCCTTGTCTATTTTGCATGTCGGGGTCACAACCTACTTTTCCTCACTTAAATACGATTGTAACACTTCAACTAAATGCCCAAATTTCCTTTGGAACCAACCTGGGCCCTACTCACCTTTCAGCAAGCCTATCTGTGACGCTCATGTCTCGTTGTCTCTATCTTGCTCATGCCCCCTTCATCTTTTCAATGTAAATGTTATATGGTTTGTTGGATGATGCATCATCCCCTTTCCCATCATGACACTCCAATTGCATGCCCAAATTTCTTTTGGAACCTGCCCGTGGCCCTACTCACCCTTCAACAAGCCTATCTGTGATGCTAATGTCTCGTTGTCTCTATCTTGCTCATGTCTCGTTTTCTATCTTTGCTCATGTCTCTTCAATGCACACATAATGACATTCTTCTATATTGACACCTCATGTGACCGCACTCATGTCTCGTTTTCTATCTTGCTCATGCCTCTTCAATGCACACATAATAACACTCTTCTATTGGTCGCGTCATGACATTCTTCTGTATTGACACCTCTTAAACGTTACTATTTTGTTGGTTGTGACGTTAATATGGGTGTATTGGATTGTGATGGTTGTGGCATAATCCCATCGTGGGTTGTGACATTTGCACCGTCCTCCAACTTCACGTGATTGGATGTCCCTTGTCTATCTTGCGTACACTTTTCACAATGGTATGATATTGTCCACTTTATGGCTTTGCTTCCCCAAAAAGTCTCAAGAGACAGGATTTGAACCCGTGACTTCAAGGTTATGAGCCTTGCGAGCTACCAAGCTGCTCTACCCCGCGAAGAACTGTGAACTAATAGACAAACAAAGATTGAATGCACCCCTATACCATATCTGTACAAATAGAATAGTCGATTTATACATAATGGTAAAGGGGGGTCCCTCTATGATCATAGAAATGAATAGAAAGAGATATTTGAATCCTTAAGTCTCATACCATTGGAAATAACTTCCTTGATTATAAACTCTTGATCATTCCCTAAATTAACCCTTTGGGCATCCACAAAGAGCCGCATACCATTGGAAATAACTTCCTTGATTATAAACTCTTGATCATTCCCTAAATTAACCCTTTGGGCATCAGCCGCATACCATTGGAAATAACTTCCTTGATTATAAACTCTTGATCATTCCCTAAATTAACCCTTTGGGCATCCCAAAAAGCCTCATATTGGAAATAACTTCCTTGATTATAAACTCTTGATCATTCCCATCCAACACCTCCCCTAAGACTTTCTAACCCCTAAGACTTTCTGACAAAGTATGCTTCCCCTTAATCAAGGCTCGTGATAAAATAAGGAACCACTACAAGGGGAGTAAGATTCAGATTACCTTGTTGATCGAATATCTCAAGGCAAAACATTGTTTGAGATTCGAATCACTCCACAAGCAAGATCGATCATGTCTAGCTTGTTGATCAAATATCTCAAGGCAAGAACACTTGCTTGAGATTCGAATCATTCCACAAACAAGATTGATCATGTCGAGCTTGAATGATTCTACATGCAACCTAAACTACATAGAATTGCAAAGAATTATATAGCCTCAAGATTGATCAAAAGAGTTCTAACATTCATACTTATTATTTGGAGGAATGTCCAATCAAATCAATAGCCTTTTTTTTATTCACTTCTTGATTCCTTTTAGATCGTGAGCTTTAGAGCTGCTTAATTACTCTATTAAATTCCTTTCGCATTGTTACTCTCTTTTGTGGAAAAGAGTTCAGGATTTCAGTAAGTATATATATATAATTGTTTTCATTTGTTAAGATTTCAAATCAAATATATCCCAAATGCAAATGGAAAAGAGACTCCAATAGTTGGACATTAAGTAAAATAATCTATATAATTTGAGGACAACCTTTAAGAAAAAGGTCGTAGAAACATTATTGTTGAAGGGAAATAAAAGAAGGAATGAGCTAATAATCATGAACCCAATTGGGTGCAGAGAGTGTTAAAAATCTAATACTCTATAGCTTGGGAGGAGGAAGCAGCCACTTTTGGGCCTGCACGTAATCAAGGTTGATGAAGGGTTTCGCTTGTGCTTCACTCAGCTGTTTGCTGAATTTTACACGCTTGCTCGTCTCCGCTCCCGGCCCCGAACACTTAAATTCTCCGAAGAAAACTGTCTTGTCAAAAGCCGGGTTGTTCATGTCGTCCCAGCCTTCGGGATGAAGGATGTCAGCAATGGTGGTGTAGGCAAACACAACTCTGGACCAGGGCCTCCAAGATCTTCCCAAATAAGTGTTCGGCCCGCCGGTGCCTGTAATGCTGCAATGCGCAAACACATACCCACTCGGGTCGTCTTCCTTTTCTCTTGAATGCGCTGCAATCACTCCCAATCCCCCGACTCCCAACACATTCAGCTGACTGTTCAAATACAGGGCCGTTGCCTTCCCGAAGATGAAGTCCACGGTGCCTTGAATGAAGCAATCCTTGTACACATGCAACCCGTCGTCGTCGCACAGGGTGTCTTGAAACCCTATGAATTTGCAGTTGTAAATTGCGGCTTTATTCCCTCTGATTCTCGCCGCCAATGCCGGACCTCCTTTTCTCGCATCCGGTCTTGGAGAAGTGTTCTGATTTTATTCAAAAATTGATCAGAAAACGACACCCAATTAACCCTAAAACGCATTTAATTGACAAATTACCTCGATCACGAGATTGGCAGCAACGAAATACTCAGCCTCGACGATCAAAGTGGCACTGTAGACGGTGCCGTATTTTTTGGCATCTCCATCAAATGTCAAGTTTGGCATATTGTTAGGGGAACCGTAAAGGGTAATGAAAGGCTGATTTCTCTCGATCGTAAGCTTCTCCTTATAAACTCCTTCCCCAATCCAAATCACGACGCGCTTGGTGTTACCGGCGGGAACGCTGGCGATGGCTTCGGTGACAGTCTTGAAGTCTCCACTTCCGTCGGCCCTTACTTTGACGACGGTGGAGCTTTCTTCAGCGGCCACAAGGGCTGGATCAAGCTCCGCCTTGCGGGCGGCCAAGGGCTTCACATGTCCGGAAAACCAAGCTTCTAACTGCGACTTCTCTGCAGGAACCTCTGTTGTAGCAGAAGAGATGGGTGCAAAAGCTGCGAGGAAGATCACCAATGCTGAGAGAGCAATATTCATATTTAAGTGATTTATTTTATTTTAAAAACAAGGATGGGTGGATGAGTACGTTGAATTGCATGGAGAAGGTGGGATTATATAGGGTGATGGGGCCCACTGTGAACCATAAGAACCTACCTAACATTTTTGAATTAGTTTTACCTTTCCGTATCTAGTGGAAGACTATTTCCTCCGAACAAAAATATAATTTTAAAATAACATTTTATTTTCTTCCAAATAAAAGGCTCTACAAATAAATAAATAAATAAATAAATAACCAGAGATGTATATTGTCCCTTGGCAACTTGTAGCTGAAAGGACTGGTGCTGTTCTGAAGTTTGTGAGTTTAGATGAACATGATGTCCCAAACTTGAAAGATTTCAAGGAGATGTTAACAACAAAAACAAAGCTTGTGGTTACCCATCATGTCTCAAATGTACTAGGTACACCCTTCTATTTGATATCTTAGCACTATTGTTGTGAGATCTCACATTGGATGGAGAGGGGAACGAAGCATGCCTTATAAGGGTGTGGAAATCTCTCCCTAATAGACGCGTTTTAAAACCTTGAAGGGAAGCCCGAAAGAGAAAATCAAAAGAGGACAATATCTGCTAGCGGTGGGTTTGGGCTTGGGCGGTTATAATTGTAATCTATTTCCTTGTTTTTTTTACCATTCAATTTGTAAGCATTACTCAAGTGGAACAAGTAGTAGGTGAGTATTTCCAACTGAAGTGTGATCATATCTTTTCAGTAATTACAAGTCAAGTTTAAACTTGTTTGGCTGAGTAAAAATAGTAAAATTCAATGAATGAAGGACAGAAAAGAACTGATGTATATAGTGGAATTCAGTATGATTTGATTGTTTCTGCAGCATCTGTTCTTCCAATTGAAGACATAGTTAGCTGGGCACATCATTTTGGGGCTAAAGTGCTAGTAGATGCATGCCAGAGTGTTCCACATATGGTTGTCGACGTCCAGGCGCTTGATGCTGATTTTCTTGTTGCTTCTTCTCACAAGGTTAGGCTGTTTTCTTATTAATTAAATCTTGGGCCTTACATTTGTGCATATGAAGTTAAGGAATAAACATGCTTCAGATGTGTGGGCCTACAGGCATCGGATTTTTATATGGAAAGATTGATCTGCTGTCTGCAATGCCTCCATTCTTAGGTAGGTACTTCGAGAAGATAAGCTATGAAAACAAATATATATAAATAAACTTGTATCAGTTAGTTAGCCGGGAGTCAATATCTAATTTCCATATCTGGTCCTACATGGCTCTAGGTGGTGGAGAGATGATCTCAGATGTCTTTCTTGACCATTCCACATTTGCAGAACCTCCTTCCAGGTTGGTGAACTGCAAGGGTGCATCTTTTTCCTTTTATTCTAAATGGGGTGGAAAAATTAGAACGTTCAATATATAAGACTGAGGACATGCTGAATCTGCCATTGATCTTCTATGTTTTATTCCTAAAATTAGAGCACCTCAAAGTTCCATTTAATTTTTTAAAAATAATATCATGAACTTTAGCGCTTTATCTATAAGTTTCTATGCTGGCTGCTGATTTTGTTTGCTCATCTTTTTCAATTGATACTTGGCTTAATTTCGAACGTAATACATTAGATTCGAGGCTGGGACGCCAGCGATTGGAGAAGCAATTGGATTGGGAGCTGCTATTGATTATTTGTCTGGAATCGGCATGCAAAAGATTCATACTTATGAAGTGAGTTGATTGAGATTTGGCGTATGTATCCCTTTCTTTGAAATTTGTTGGGGTGAAAAGGTTGCATAGTAATGGAAATCTTGCTCTAATCAAGGGATTCAGATATTATTTTTCATCAACATCCTGGAAATCTGAAATTGAAAACTGCAAGCGTAGGATGAGATGATAAATATGTTCACAAGTTTTGATACTTTAGTCTAACCAGCAATGAGTTGCTGTCTGCTAACAGGAAGAATTGGCGAATTATCTATATGAGAACCTTCGTGCAGTCCCTAACATTCGCATATATGGCCCAGTCCCTAATGCTCAACGTGCTGCTCTGTGCTCGTTCAATATTGACAACATGCATCCAACGGACATTGCAACTTTTCTTGATCAACAGGTACATCAAGGGAGATTCTAGATTGTATTACTAGAGTGCATCATTTACTTTCTATGGGTCCTTAAAAATATTTTAATGCAGCATGGTATAGCCATCAGATCAGGACATCACTGTGCACAGCCCCTCCATCGGGTTCTCGGTGTCAGCTCGAGCGCACGAGCTAGCCTTTACTTCTACAACACAAAAGAGGATGTGGACTACTTTATCCAGGCTCTAAATGACACTGTAAGTTTCTTCGACTCCTTCAAGTAGGGATCTGGTAATACCAAAACTTGTCGATTTGGCGGGTCCACTGCATGGATTATGCTCTGTTTCTTGCTTTGATGAAGATTGTCTTTCTTCTTGCTATCTTGAGCTGAGCCTGTGACATTTACTACCAGATGTTTTCCCATATAATGTTCTTGTAAAGACCACAGATTTCTCCTAGTTTTAGACTTTAGTTTATCTATAAATTATTTAATTAAGCTATGCTTTCATGGACTCATTTTTCTCAAGATTATGGGATACTGTCAATGTATTATATATAGCAACACTCAAATCACAAGTCTCAGATTCCTTGGGCTCATGACATGACGGTTTATTTTAATTAAATCTACCATAAAACCAATTTTATGTTTATAAATTCTACGTGAGATTTCACCTCAATTGGAGAGGGAACGATTATGAAAGCATCGAATATAAATTCATTTGTAAAAAGATATGACTAATTAATCTCACCTCAATTGGAGAGGGAACGATTATGAAAGCATCGAATATAAATTCATTTGTAAAAAGATATGACTAATTGGATGCAGTAAGAAATTCCTTTAATCTTGTTAAAGGAAGAAACCTAATAAAATTTAAATAACGTATAAGAAAAAAAAAAAATATAAAATAATTTTTTTTAGGAAAATAAGAAAATTAATGACGAAAAACTTGTATAAATATCTGGTTTCAGTGCGCGATTCCAACTTCAACAAGCTTCCTAAGAGTTCATCAAATTATTATCTATTCAATAGGTTGTATTCATTTGAAAAAAGTCCGGGAAGCTTCTTCTCCAATCATCCATGGATTTTGATCGAACCAATAGCGAAAGCGAAAGGAGAAACTCATACGGAGGAAGATTTGGGCAAAACGCTGCTGTTTTAGCGGCTCCTCAACCAAGAATCGCAAGAGTAATGTCTCGATCTCTGTTTCTGGCTGTGATTTTCCTCTTGATTCCTCACATTGGTCCCGTATTCAACGACAAAGGAAAATTCCTCTCGTTCGATTCCAAAAAGCCTCACTCTATGACCAAACGAGAATTCTTCGACTTAATCGACGAATTGAAAACCGCCGAAATTCTCATGAAGGATAAACAGAGCCTTGTGTTGATTGCAGGATCCAATTCAAACACCGAGGCTGCGGATCATTATGCCGATTATCTGAGAAGAATGGGAGCCGATGTAGTAATAGAGAACTATTTGCCGCGATTCTCCTCTGAGAACGAATCGTTTGATATCGTGTTCACGCTAGGGCAACTCGGAGCAAGATTTGTTGACCGTGTTCTTAAAAGCGGCGGCGCAGTGGTTGTTCCGGCGAATGATATGTCTCTAAATGTGTACCTCGATGAATTGAAATATACGTGCGTTTACTTAAAGCCTTACAGTCTTGAATCGATCATCATCGTGGTGGTGAAACCAAGTCCGCCTCATCAATTAGATGCCGGCGAGTTACGCCGGCGGCCACATTGACGGTACCGTAAATTATGATTCACATATCCTGTGCACTGATACACTTGGATTGGGACTCAAAAAAATAGCGGCCGAAGGCAATTAGGTTAGGCTTCGCTTCTTTTTTCTTCTTTCTAGAGGCTTCGTGCATTATTTTTTACAAAACCTAGGTCTAAATTTTTCCAATCAATTTTTGTATTGATTTTAAATTTTATGTAATGTTTTAATCTTAGTTTCAAAATATTTTAACCTTAAATTATTATTTTTATATCTATTAACAACCAATATAGAATTTTATCTATTATAAAACCTAGTATTACATCTACTAGATGCTGAGTTTGAATGCTTAGTCCTCCCTTAAATAAATGTTTTTTTTTAATTTTTTTTTTATAGCGATAGTTGTATGTCTCGGTTCAAAATGTAATGAAAAACACACAAATAGAAAATTAAGTACAACGATCAATATATTATTCTCAAACAAAACTGTCATCATACTACAATAGATGTCGTATAATTTGACGACAATAATTGAGAATAAGATCATAGAAAAGATATTATTAAAGGGGAAAAAAATAAAAAAGAATGTGAATGAGGAAATTAATGATCAACCCCATCGATTGCTGAGAGGTTATGTGAGAATACTGCCACTCTTCCTGCAACTGTGAAAGCCTATAGTTTGGGAGGAGGAAGCAGCCACTTTTGGGCCTGCACGTAATCAAGGTTGATGAAGGGTTTCGCTTGTGCTTCACTCAGCTGTTTGCTGAATTTTACACGCTTGCTCGTCTCCGCTCCCGGCCCCGAACACTTAAATTCTCCGAAGAAAACCGTCTTGTCAAAAGCCGGGTTGCTCATGTCGTCCCAGCCTTCGGGATGAAGGATGTCAGCAATGGTGGTGTAGGCAAACACAACTCTGGACCAGGGCCTCCAAGATCTTCCCAAATAAGTGTTTGGCCCGCCGGTGCCTGTAATGCTGCAATGCGCAAACACGTACCCACTCGGGTCGTCTTCCTTTTCTCTTGAATGTGCTGCAACCACTCCCAATCCCCCGACTCCCACCACATTCAGCTGACTGTTCAAATACAGGGCCGTTGCCTTCCCGAAGATGAAGTCCACGGTGCCTTGAATGAAGCAATCCTTGTACACATGCAACCCGTCGTCGTCGCACAGGGTGTCTTGAAACCCTATGAATTTGCAGTTGTAAATTGCGGCTTTATTCCCTCTGATTCTCGCCGCCAATGCCTGACCTCCTTCTCTCCCATCCGGTCTTGGAGATGAATTCTGATTTTATTCAAAAATTGATCAGAAAACGACACCCAATTAAACCTAAAACTCATTTGATTGACAAATTACCTCGATCACGAGATTGGCAGCAACGAAATACTCAGCCTCGACGATCAAGGTGGCACTGTAGACGGTGCCGTATTTTTTGGCATCTCCATCAAATGTCAAGTTTGGCATATTGTTAGGGGAACCGTAAAGGGTAATGAAAGGCTTATTTCTCTCGATCGTAAGCTTCTCCTTATAAACTCCTTCCCCAATCCAAATCACGACGCGTTTGGTGTTACCGGCTGGAACGCTGGCGATGGCTTCGGTGACAGTCTTGAAGTCTCCACTTCCGTCGGCCCTTACTTTGACGACGGTGGAGCTTTCTTCAGCGGCCACAAGGGCTGGATCAAGCTCCGCCTTGCGGGCGGCCAAGGGCTTCACATGTCCGGAAAACCAAGCTTCTAACTGCGACTTCTCTGCAGGAACCTCTGTTGTAGCAGAAGAGATGGGTGCAAAAGCTGCGAGGAAGATCACCAATGCTGAGAGAGCAATATTCATATTTAAGTGATTTATTTTATTTTTAAAACAAGGATGGGTGGATGAGTACGTTGAATTGCATGGAGAAGGTGGGATTATATAGGGTGATGGGGCCCACTGTGAACCATAAGAACCTACCTATCATTTGTGAATTACTTTCCGTATCTAGTGGAAGACTATTTCCTCCGAACAAAAATATAATTTTAAAATAACATTTTATTTTCTTCCAAATAAAAGGCTCTACAAATAAATAAATAAATAAATAAATAATTACCCAACCTCTTAAACTGCGGCAGCTAAAACGGAAAGCTAAAACTGCTCCGTTCTTAAGGTTCACTGCGGGCCCCCTCACTCCATATAATCCCCACCTCATCCCTGCAATTCAACGTACCCCACCGTTCTTCGGAATGCAGATTTAAAAAATAAAATTTATTTATTAGAAGGAAGAAACAGAAATATGGAATATGGCATTAATGCCGTCGCTCTCACAAGATTGGTGATCTTCCTAGCCGCTTTTGCAGCCATCTTCGCTGCTACACCACCGGTTTCCGAAGAACCCAACTGCGGTGCTGCATCATCGGCTTCCGCCGAAGGCACCTGCTCTACTACACCACCGGATGCCCCCGCAGAAGCCACCTCCGCCTCTCCTACAGCAGAGGTTCCCGCAGAAAAGTCGCAATTAGAAGCTTGGTTTTCCAAAAACGTGAAGCCCTTAAGCGCTCGCAAGGCGGAGCTTGATCCAGCCCTTGTGGCCGCTGAAGAAAGCTCCACCGTCGTCAAAGTAAGGGCCGACGGAAGTGGAGACTTCAAGACTGTCACCGAAGCCATCGCCAGCGTTCCAGCCGGTAACACCAAACGCGTCGTGATTTGGATTGGGGAAGGAGTTTATAAGGAGAAGCTTACGATCGAGAGAAATAAGCCTTTCATTACCCTTTACGGTTCCCCTAACAATATGCCAAACTTGACATTTGATGGAGATGCCAAAAAATACGGCACCGTCTACAGTGCCACCTTGATCGTCGAGGCTGAGTATTTCGTTGCTGCCAATCTCGTGATCGAGGTAATTTGTCAATCAAATGAGTTTTAGGTTTAATTGGGTGTCGTTTTCTGATCAATTTTTGAATAAAATCAGAATTCATCTCCAAGACCGGATGGGAGAGAAGGAGGTCAGGCATTGGCGGCGAGAATCAGAGGGAATAAAGCCGCAATTTACAACTGCAAATTCATAGGGTTTCAAGACACCCTGTGCGACGACGATGGGATGCATGTGTACAAGGATAGCTTCATCGAAGGCACCGTGGACTTCATCTTCGGGAAGGCAACGTCCCTGTATTTGAACAGTCAGCTGAATGTGGTGGGAGTCGGTGGATTGGGGGTGATTGCAGCGCATTCAAGAGAAAAGGAAGACGACCCGAGTGGGTATGTGTTTGCGCATTGCAGCATTACAGGCACGGGCGGGCCGAACACTTACTTGGGAAGATCTTGGAGGCCTTGGTCTAGAGTTGTGTTTGCCTACACCACCATTGCCGACGTCCTTCATCCTGAAGGCTGGGACGACATGAACCACCCTGATTTCGACAAGACGGTTTTCTTCGGAGAATATAAGAGTTCGGGGCCGGGAGCGGAGACGAGCAGCCGCATAAAATTCAGCAAACAGTTGAGTGATGCAGAAGTGAAACCGTTCCTCAGCCTTGATTACGTGCAGGCCCAAAAGTGGCTGCTTCCTCCTCCCAAGCTATAGAGTATTAGACTTTTAACACTCTCTGCACCCAATTGAGTTCATGATTATTAGCTCATTCCTTCTTTTATTTCCCTTCAACAATAATGTTTCTACGACCTTTTTCTTAAAGGTTGTCCTCAAATTATAAAGATTATTTTACTTAATGTCCAACTATTGCAGTCTCTTTTCCATTGCATTTTGGATATATTTGATTTGAAATCTTAATAAATCAAAACAATTATATATATATTTGAACTCTTTTATATTTGAACTCTTTTTAACATGTTTTCATACGTTGTATAGGTGAATGGTAGGCCTCTGGTCCTCTTTTTGTTAGGCGGCCATCGCC